GGCTGAATATTTATTACGTTCAATTAATGGCCAGTGTTTACATGAAGGCTGTTTCAGGAATCTTTTTTTATTATTAACTTATAGTCACTGATAAAATTGCAATTGCAGTCAAGATTTTTCTAAACCTAAGATCCTTTCCAGAATATAAAAGGGTGAAATCACATTATGAAAACATAAGCATAGGAATGTAAACACATTAATTGCTAGTATGAACAATGCACCTCTTTATAAGAAAGATATGTCAACATACTTCTTCAATATATTCTTCATTTGCAAATTCATCTTCAGTCTCATCTGTCAATTTACATAAGCAATATAATGTCTATTGCCTCAATAAATAATACAGAAAATATGAAGCCCCTGTCCAAAATGTAAAACAATAAACAGATCAATCTCCTATTAATGATGCCCAAGGATTGTAAAAACCTGAAATGTTAAGTATCTGTTCACAAAGTTTCCAAAACTTCTGAACAGTTGATAAATCTGGGCAATATCCTAGACTCTCCAGTTTTGTGGATGCATATTTTGAAGTCTTGAACAAGTTCCACATTTCTGCTAGTATGATGGAAACCTATCAATGTATTGAATACAGAATTACTGAATCAGCTGATCACAATAAATGTTGAAATCCAAAATGTTTTTGGTTTCAATTTGCAATAAAAAAGTGAAAACTTACTCTGAATGGAAGAACTGTTCGACGCCTTTCCTCATGGACTACGACCAAGGAGTCCATGAGGTGTTCTAGCTGCTCAAAGAGATTCGTTCTCTTGGACAAAAGCACCGTTAAAGAGACCTCGGAGGGATTCTCACCATCAATTGAATACAAAGACCAAGCTACCTGTAAATACATATTGAGAAGTACAAAACCAAGCACCTGAAAAAAGAGAATCTATAAGATAATGCCCAAGAAGAAAAACTTAAAAAAAAAAAAATATATATATATATAAAGCATGCCTCATCATCCAATCCTTTTACATCTCTAAGAATGCTAGCCAATTCATCATATAAGTCATCATTAGCAACATTTTTCTTCAGCTGAACCTCATACAACCGTTTCAAATTAACCAAAAGAGAATACTCATCATCTCCAACCTGCAAAGTAAAAGTCACTGTTCATTCAATGTTATTGAAAGGAATACAGAAAAAAATATATGCACGCACCTTTACAGCTTTTATGGCAGCCTTCAGCTTAACTAGTAACTCATTTTCGAGATCTTTTAGCTTATTCTTGGCATAATCTTGCAAGTCCGCTTGACTCTCGGTGGAACAAAAGATAAGAGCCTTTATACAGGATTTCAAAGCATCCTCCTCACCGTGTTTAAAGAATGCTTCGGCAATCAGATCCAAAATAGACTTAAAACTCTGAATAAACAGGTAAAGAAACAACCGTATTTAGTAAAATAACAAAGGTAAGGAAAGACAAAATCGAGCATGCAAATCAACAAACCTGCTCCCGCCTTTTAAGTGAGTATAGCTCTAGGTTCAAAAGCAAAAGAATTTCAACTAATGCAGGTAACTTTGCTTTATCCGCAATAAATTTTTGCAGCAGCTGTGGATAGCTCTTCATTAAGGCAGCTGTTATATCTCTCCTGTTATTATCTAGGGCCTCCTGAGAAACAAAGCAGCATAAAAACATAAGGCATTGTCCAATGGCAGTCTATGCGATTAATAACTTTAATTGGTGCAAGAAAAGAATTTGAGAAAAGCCAAGCTTAAAGAACAACTGAAAGCAGTCCAATGTAACTTGCTGAAGACATAACATGTTTAATGAAGAATCGCAAGTCCGAGCATGCAAGACCGAGGATAAACAAATATGCATAACCTTGATTGTTAATTTTTATAATATGAGAAGAATGAAAGTTAATTTGTATCAATACAACAGCAAAAGAAATATCCACAAGCAAGACCAAGGTACAAAACATAAGGATCACTAACATTAAGTAGATTTTACTGCAAGAGAAAAAATAAGACTTTGTAAATATCTGATAAATCAAAAGTTATTCAAGAAGCATGATTAGATGTGATTCCACTGATTCCAAAATTACTTGATACTACACATATCAACTGAAGTGGTGCGTGAGTTTGGACTATTGAGCGGATACACAAAGAAAATTAATAGCTTCCTCAAACCAGAAAAAAAAAAACAAACAAAAAGAGGGCATTTACATAGCACGCCACACAATTCTTATGTATTTACATATCTAACATCTAGATTTCAATATTTAAATTCTTAATTTTCAAATCTTTAACAGCACATCACATCAAAAATATCATTTTACTAACTTTTTAAAAGTCATATGCACCTTATCATGTATAAGTTTATAGCGCCAAGGATAGCAAACTTTCGGGGGGTAGATATGTAAATCCGTTAGAACTGTGTGCCACGTATGTAAATTTCCAAAAAAAAATAATATTTCTAGAAAGAGAAATCATAATCAAACATGATAAAAATTGATTTTTAACATAGTCTGCACAAAGAATTATAATTGCCCATAAATTTAAGGATCTATGGTAATCCAGCTATAAATTCAGTATAATGATACTTGAAAGGAAAATCTAGCATCACATACCTTTTGGGCTTTTGTATAATGAGGCTTACGATTATCGGTGGATGGAACAATCTTCTCTCCAACTGCCTTCTTGGCAGAAGCGTTAAGCAAACGAACCAGATTAGTTGCATCAACATCAGTAACTTCAATTCCTGGAGATTCATCAAGAAGCATGGAAATCATGCACTTCCAATCCTGTTACAACTCTAAACACGGTTATCATAGGTTATCATATATATACAGATCGAAAAATATCATTCACGATCAAGATTTTACAGCACTCCATGGATAAGTTTTAATTTCAAATTTACAAAATAATGACGATGCAGAAGTTACTATACTTTCATGGCCTTCATATCATCCCAAATATCATCAATAACGTATGCACTTAGAATTGGATCATCAGGAAATTCTCTAAGTATTTGCAACATTCTTCCCAAGTGTACTTCAGAAGTTTTATCATCTTCCCCTGAGCATATATTTGGCTTAACAAATAAAATGGATTGAACATAAGATGGAAGTGCAGATTGTACAATAAACATTAGGGACATTTACATGCATACCACCTGATCCTTATGTTTTTACATATCTAACACCTAAAGTTTAATTTTTGGATTTATTCCACCCAAATCTTTCATATCACATCAAAACATACCACCACTTTAACTTTTAAAAAGTGAAATACTCCTTTTTATGATAGGGAAAATGGCATGCGTGTAAAAATTGAAGTTTAGGTGTTAGATATGTAAATACATAGAAATTTAGTGGTATGTATCATCTATATAAATCTTCCTAAATATTATAATAGTGTACCTTTGGAAACAGATGTTGAACCCTTCACATTTTGTGCAATCAGGTGATCATAAACTAATTCACCTATAGCACGCCTAATCAGAGGAGGGTCATCAACGAGCAAATCATATAAAGGACCCAATTCCTCGTCGGTAAGAAGTTGATGCCTGTGAAACCACATAGAAAACGATCAGTTACAAAAGCCACATTTTTTAACAAGTAGAGGTGAGTGCGGTTACCTCAGAAGAAGCTTAAGAAGCCCTATGGCAGAAACAGCAACAGAAATGTCAATATCATCAGCAAGTTCAATCATTCTGTTGCAAAATCTTTCAGTAAAAAGGCCGAGAGATGGAACATTATCATCCACTTCATAAAGGTTCTGCAAGGACAGGACAGAAGTTTTTCTGACAGCAGCAACCTTCAGATGCAATCAGAATAATAGAGGAATGAGATCAATAGAAAACAAAACAAAGAGAATCAAGTTCAAGGATGAGAAAATTCAAAAATTTTAAAAAGATGGCCTACTTTGTCATTTAAAGTCCACCCAAGATATTTTAAATATAAATCCTGCAAGAATAGTGACGGGTATGACAAGATCCAAACACCAAGAGATCTAATACAAGAAACTCGAATGTCTGAATCAACATCTCGGTATCGGTGCATAAATAACCTGTCAAAAAAAAATTCATGAGAACTTATTTTATTGAAGTAATAAAAATTATTACAACCCAGAGAATTCACCCTTGGAATAGTTTCCTCATCATCTCTTCTATGACACTTATCACTTTGTGGGTCTGGGTTAATCTTTTGTTCAATGAGTCCACCCGAGGCCCGTCACTCCGTTTCTTCTTTTCAGCATTTAACTGTCTCTGAGTAGTCTCACGCTGGCCTGCTAGTATCTTAGCAGCTGCTATAAGGGAAGTGACGAGCTGAAGGCCCACAAGTGTGGCCACATGGCGATAAATTCTAGGAGGCGTACTAGAAACAACACAGCAGATATTAATGTTTTCAAATGGGAAGATTTACATACATACAACTCAATTCCTAATGTATTTATGAATCTAACACCTGACATATTCATGAAAAGGTGTATTTCACCTTTTAAAAATTAAATGGTGGTATTTTTTATGTAATGTGAATGATTTGGGTGGTATAATGTAAAAAATAAAATTTAGGTGTTAGATATGTAAATACATAGGAATTGGGTGGTATGTATCTAAATGCCCCCTTTCAATTATCAGTGAAAGATTCTAATAGATGACTTACCATGACAATGCAATGACATAGTCCATACATTTATCAAATAAAATATTATCAAATAATGGCCCATTTTGACACTCAAGAACTAAAGTGTCCCAAAATAATGCAAGGTTTTCCTTGAAGTTTTTGAGCTCCTTCCGCTTGGAGGTATAGAGATCTTCAACTTCTCCCTAGTAACCATATAAGTTAAGTCCATAACACTGGTCACTATAGCAAAGAGCAACTTCACAAATAAAAATACTCATGTTCTAATTTAACAAGCAATTTCAATTTTCAAATTTCAGGATACAGCATTAGCAAGCTCTACAAGCTTTACTACCACATTATCCACATCAGTAGATTCAATGCTATCCACATGAAACTGATACTTAGCACCACATGCCTGCTTAATGAGAAAAAAATGGTTAGAATTTGAAAATGGAACAATATTAACAAAACGACAAGTTTAACAAGTGACCTCAAAAAGCAGCATCAGAATATCCACCAATGCAGATTTAGGGTCTGTTTCGTATCGCTCAACCAACTTTTTAACAGCATACGGGATGAGTTTGCCATTATACTTGACAATCTCTGCCAAATTATGTGCAAAGATAGTGTTGCAATAAAATTAAAGCCAGCGTAAAATAATTCTTGTAAGAATTAAACAGGTAGGAGGATGAAAAGAATTTGTTATCCATGTAAATAAGCAGAAATCACAGGCTTCAAGATGAATATCTTCAGACATACTACAATGAGATGCAATCCCAATGCAACTCACCTCAGAAAATTCAGGCATGAAGCTAGCCATAATGCTTTAAGCATAATCATGTGATTTGCAAGATTCCTTGATAATATTACTAACATTCAACTATCAAAGTAAATTTCAAGAAACTTAATCATAAGCAAATATGAATTAATAGTACAAATGTATTTAGGAGAAATGTGCAAATCTATGTTTGAGTGGTAATGCATTTAAAACTTTTTTCAACCAGCAAACTAGATGCATGTTAAATAAAATCAAAGATAATTTATTCATTCTGTGCATATATACCTGTTATGATAAAAAGAATAAAGTAAAATTTATATCTAAACACATGTAAACCTAGATCGGCATAAAAGGTGTCGGCCAAGAACTAATGGCAGTAAATGATCGCATAAATATACACATTGCTTGCAATAGGCAACAAAGTGTGAGCCCACAAATTGGCGTGTGGTTGAGGAATAAAAAATTGAATGGAAAATAATGCATGTAAGCCAACTTACTACACAAAGCGTGCAGCTAAGTTTCAATATCTATTAGGCTATTGCCCGGTTTAGTCAACTGGGTTGTAGTTCTAACCAAGCAGACATGTCCATGAATGTGAATGTTGAGAGCACCTTGTACATGCACATAAATGTGCGAAATGGAAACCAGAAAAACTTTGATCTCCTTAATGAACTATAAATGATTTCAAAAAGCTCATCCAACACATGAAATTGGTTTGAACAATTTATTAAAAGTTAAGGTTGAAAGCATGCCACAAGTTGGTACCATTGTGCTATTACAATCATTTGCTGTTTGGTGCAACAAAGTACTTCTTATACTTAAAAAAAGGAACAATTTATTCCACAATTTTAATTCAAAGATTGTAAGTTCATTAAGAAGGTGCGCGTTCAATATTGGCAAAATTGATAAGTTAGCACCACCAGCGCCCATAACAATTGGTCCGCCAGATATCAGTTGTTGTAGAAAAAACTCCATCAACATGAAGAGAAGCTAAGTAGTTCAAAAGCAAGAGATAACGAAAACCTTCACTTCAAGGTTGATGGAAAGTTAGAGCTGCTTGTTATGATGTCATCAAAACTGAAGCAATTGGCAATTTCTTTTTAAGTTAATAGATAAATTTTACATTTTATGACTATCCATAAGAAAATAAAAATGCAATTGTTGATTTGAAGTTATCCTCAAACACTTTAATTCGCTGGAATTCATAATTTAAAAACCATAACGTAATAGACATGCCAAGTTAAAACGAATGTTAAAAGCTCAATCCTACCACATTACAACAATGACGACGACGACGACGAGCCTTTATCCCACTAAGTGGAGTCGGCTACATAAATCCTTTTTTTTTGTCCTATTGAGTGTCATATTTTAATTTAATTCTAATAAATTAAGATCATTTTGTATACAACATACCCAAGTAATGGTAATTTGTTCTTGACCTCAATGAATAATTGGTCCCTACAAAGTTGGACGTGCAAAATGCTTTCTGGACCTTCGAGCATGGTTGGAGCATAGCCCTTAACTTAGCTACCGAAACAACAAGTAGTCGATCCCATAAGTCATATAAACTTAAGGACTATGCTCAATAAAATTAAGAGAAGCAGCAATCGAGCACGAAGTGAAGATAACTAATTATATTCAGCCCAAAAGTAAACAGGATAGGTGCATTAATGTTTAACTCTTCAAAGAGCAATTATTAAATCAAGATCACTAGGAAGGGGATCCATTGAGGAAGATATTGATGCCACACTAGGATTAAGGGAGCGAGGTTTTCTCTAGTAAATATTAGTGATAGGTGGTTTGGGTTGACGCATTGGAGATGGAGCTAGATCAGGATCTAAGCTTATGATGTGATGAGTTAACAACTCATCCGAATATGGTGAAGATTTAGACACTGATGAGTCGCTAAAGAATGAGATTTGTTCATGAAATGTGACTTCAACAGAATAATCTGTTTAAGAGGGGAAAAACATCAATACAATTTTTTTCAGACGAGAATATATTACAAACCTTAATGACTTAGGATCAAGTTTGAACACATGTGGGCAAGTACCACGGACAAAAGCAAGTACACCGAAATATATGTAGTTCAATTAAAAAAGAGAGTTGATTGAAATAAGAGTGTTTGATTCTATAAAACAGCAGAGGACATCCGATAGATCAAAAAACATATAGTAGAAACTGTATTAGCCCGGAATTGTTTAGGCGCATTTATTTGAAACAAAAGAGTCCTAGCTGTCTCAAGAAGATATATATTTTTCATTTCAACAACTCCAGTTTGGGATGGGTAATCGACACACGATGAGGGTGTAAAAGAATATCATTTGGCATTATCACTTCTCATAATATTAATTGAAATATTGAATTAAGATTTAACTTTGGCGCAAAAGGATTGAAAATGTGATAATACATTAATACGGGATTTCATAAAGTAAAGTCTAGTCGTACGAGATAAATCATCCAAAAAAATGACAAAGAATCAAAATTAATTAGACAAAATGAGACAATGCCTCCACACATCAAAATGATGCAACTCAAAACTATGAATGGCTCTTTTAATAACTCTAGGAACAGAATACAATCGATTGTATTTTGCAAATTGACACAACGCACAAGCTAAAGATAATAACTGTTGAAACTGGAGGTGCAATTCTTTCAACATTGATAAAAATGGGTGTCTTAATAGATAATAAATCTCAAAATAAGATAAGGTATTGGAACAAGTTACAGGTCAAAGAACTTCATTATCCAGAATATACAATGTCCTTGATTCTCGCCCTTTGATAATAATCTTCTGTCATAAGGTCCTAAAATTGACAATCATCAGGAAAGAATAAGATATAATAATTAAAATCACGTGTAATTTTGTTAGCAGGAATATGATTAAAAACAAAATGACGTAAATTGAAAATAGAAGTTAGAAGCAATATGGGTGTAATATTGATGTTGTCAGAACTGAGAACACTAAAGGTGGATTCATCTGCTAAGGTAATAGAACATAGGTGTTTATGAAAGAAAGAAAAGTGTTTTGGATTACCTGTCATGAGAACTGTAGCAATAGAAGCAATGATTCCTTGTATGCAAAATGAAAGAAGATAAGTATGATTCTTACCTAACTCGGCAAGAGCAGTCATGGATGGAGATTCCTTGTATGCTTCCTGAAATTTGATGAACTTGGTATATTCATCTGCAAAGATCAAGAGTTTAACTCGAAGAGGCCTCGGTGGCAGTGACAATGGGAGCAGATTGTGATTTAAAACCCTTTTAATTCTTTTTTAGCAACTTTTGATATGTTCTTTTTGTATGACCAGGTTAGTGACAATAATAGCACACTACTTTTGACCCTTGACTTTATGAATTCCTTGATTTCTAGAATTTGGAGTTTCACTCCAATAATTGTCTTGAGAATGAGATTTAATGATGTTTTTATTTTTATAACTAGCAAAGGCACTAGATTGTTGTATGAATGAGGCTCGAGAACCCAAGATCATACGAAAAATTAAACTATAGACTTCCCTCAAAGTCGTATATCCAGGGTCAGATAAAATGTGTGATTTGACACCTTTACACTGAGAGTTTAGGACAACTAGAAAACTAATGATAGTCATTTACTCTCTTTAAAACTTTTAAAAACAAAAATATATGCTAGAGGACAATAGTGCGTTCAATTCTTCATGCATATATTTAAAGTGCATGTGATGTGTGTTAAGTGACAGATCATATTATTCAGCACGATAGAATTTCTTACATACATCAAATGTTCAAGAAATATTCTCTCCCAAAAAACACACATCAATTCCTTCGTCGCATCTTTAACACAGTTGCAGTAAGTAATATGACTGAATTGATAAGATTCGATGAAATTTCGTAGTTGTATCGAAAGTTGAGCATCCACTCAAAATAGTTTGACTTGGTCTCAACTAGAGGATTATTAGTGAGGCAACTCTCTTAAAAAATACTCCTTAAATAGAATCTCACAGTTATTTCAATATAAATAATTGATGTCATTTATGCAATCTTAGTAACTGATGAAACCAAACCAATCACAAAATGTTTGTGTTCACAAGCTATAATAGGTATCATTCACTATTGAAGGACGAATTGACAAATAACTCCAAGAACAAGCAGACAACGGAACGCAACAACCAAGGAAATAGACCTAAGTAAAAGTCAACAAATCCAAAAATGCACAAATAACTTGAAGAACAAGTAGACAACAGAGCACAACAACTGAGGAAATAGACCTAAGCAGGCGTCGGTGAAGCCAGAACGAGCCTAAGCAGAAGACAAATTATGACATTGCAAACGAATTTCTTCCAGGCGAAGTCGACAACGACAAAGAAGACGCAGAAAAAGAAGGTGATGACAATGAATTCACAGACCAAGCTTTGACAAAAACCCTAATCCCTTCGCAGGAAGAGGAGGTTTCGATCAGTGCGGACAAGGTCGCACTATGCACAGAACCATGGTGAGTTAGGATCGCACTCACTTTGACAAGCGATGCAGGCGATTCAAGAGGGAGCTTCGACGAGCGAGGCAATGCGGATTGACGATGAACGAAGCAATGATTGACGCCGAGAAAGGTGATCTATGCGGTCAAGGCCGCAATTGCAAGCAGGGAATGACATCAAACAAAGGAGGTGTGCGTAGCTCTGGTACCATGTGAGGAAAACTTCATTTATTATTCCCTAATTAACATCATATGTTACATACTTACAGACACTCTTCTATCTACATATTAGGAATATGCCTAGCATAGAAACGATCTGAAATTAAAACTCTTTTAAGTAGGTTACCTAAAATACAAGCTTACTATTTAGTATTTTTCATAACATGTGCATTGCACTTTGGTGCTTTAAACCTATGCATGGAAATGTGTATTTCTACTTTTTTTTTAATGGTAATAGTACTATTTTTTATGTGATATTAAAAATCTTAGCGAAATGTGTAAATATGAAAATTTAAGCGAGAAATATGTGAATACACAAGAATTATGTACAATGTAAATGCCCCTAAAATAAAGTAAAAGTTTATAATGGTAAAGAATGGGAGCTCTCGCCTTTCTTTAAAATCAATCTGCAATGGCAAATTATGAAGAAGAAAAATCCTGATTCATGAAGCTTCAAAAGTGTGATTGTAATGTTAGAAGTGAAATTGATAGGACTGAATTCCATGTTAGCAAATTAACTTAAGAAAAATGATAGAGACAATCACGGATAAAAGAGAGAAATTAAACTAAAAAGAAATTAATAAATCTTCCGAGATGCTCTCCACAAAAATCTCATTTCTCAAAGTGGGGCAGCGGTCACCTGAGAAGTAAATAAGGAAATATTCCCTTGATTCTAGCATTATTTTGCTAAATTTGAGATGTAACAAATATTGAGATAAAACGACTGTGTATTCAATAGCTTGTCAGTATCTAATGCTTTTCTTATCAATGAAGGCAGCAAATAGATTTTATATAACCTAGCAAACAATGAAACGATCAATATCTAAGTTTCTACGTCAAAAATATATAATAATTCCATCCCTCTTCCTCCATCCTTCCCTCCCAAGGTTATAACTCTGCAATAAAGTCAAACCAATTTTCCGCCCCTGCGAATCCCGTTACATGAAACTTCTCTCGATGCATAACTGATGACAAGCTTCTCATAATTTAATAGTGAGCATTTGAGAACTTAAAAGATAAGATTCCATGCTCACCAATAAGTTTCCAGTCCTCCATAGCTCCCACAACCTTGGCCGACGGACCCCGTTTCCTCCTTGCCTTCGGCGAACGATTTCCAGACCCATCAAAGAGCCAGTCACCATCACCATCATCACCAGACAACTGCTCTCCATCAGCAGGCACACGATCATTCTTATCCGGGTTCGACCCGCTCGATTTCGACGGCCCGCCGTCCGACGATTCCAAAACCCTAGCCTTCTTCTGCTGGTGTATAGATCCAGCAAGCGATTGTCAGAGCTTTGGCGGGAATAAAATGGGACCAAATTCTTTTAAATAAAAGCTCACCGGGCGACGGACGGAAGCCTCAGATGTTGCACCAGCGCTCTCCATGTCTGGATTCCAGATCAATCAGTTAAACGGCAGATATGTGGAGTAGGAGAAAACTTGGAGCTAAAAATTCGAAGTGAGCCAATTAATTGGAGTATCAGAACCTGCAGCAGAAGTACAAGGAGCGTGCGGATGCTACAGCATGCGGTGGTGACCTCTCCCGCCTCTTTTGAGCGGGAGTAGACGTAAACTGTCGCTGTAGCCCAGCTTCCACCACAAGGAGACGAGTGATGAACAAAATGGTAATTCAATTATTTGATAAATGTCAAATTTATTTTAACTTTAAATTTGCGTAATTACTAAAAGGCCACATGAAACTTTGTTATTTACAAATCAGCCCTCTCTTTCATCTATTATTCAAAATCTCAATCAAATATTAACATTCATCATTAAAACCCAACTTATGTTTTCCACTTTTATCAAATTAAATGATTTGATTGTAGCAGTGTAAATATATTGGTTCAATAGTTCAAAAAATGAGCCACTGCTTAATTTGCAAATATCAATGTTTTAGATCTTTTATGTAATTGTCCCTTTAATCTTATGATGATATCTTTTTCAATGGGATGGATATTAGCATATTTATATTTCATTATTGTTTTGATCTAAAAATAAGACTTTCATTCTCTTGAGATTTTGAACCTATTGAGAATAGACTACAGTATGTTAGGAGCCGCTAAATTATTATTTCTATATGAGTAATTAATATCTTATAATCTGCCTCATCAATGTGATACATCACTTATATGTTTAATCTAAATTAAAATTATTATTCTCTGTAATATTGTATTTAAGTTTCATGACATGTTATAGAAAAATATTTCTTCAAATCATCAATCACTTGCCATATTTGATGTCCTTTTTGCTCCATTTGACATGGTCGCATTATGCATTTTTTTTTCTTTTATCTTCAACATGATGCAATAATGTTGTTATTTAATTCATGTTTTAAAACATTTTGCCACAACTAGGCTCGAAGGCTTAGAATTTTCATTATCATAATAGATTCTCAAATGCTAATGTTCAGATTATGTAACAAACTAGTTGTCACACCCGAACCCAGAAGGCAGTACACCCCAACAACGAAGGGGATCAAGAAATGAAAGGAATCTATTTGTATTTTCAAAAGAAAGACTTGCAATGCAATTTAAAAAAAAGGGAAAAGTAACTTTTGCTTATACTGAAAAGTTCAAATTTGCAATTAGACTGAAAATAAAAGATAGTTGAATCAAAATATAATTGATAGCATAGAACAGCTAATCAGACCCAATAATAAAGAATATAATAGCAAAAACAAATAGAAAGGAAAATTCTAAAATCAAAAAGACTTGCTCTTTTGGTTAGTGTTGTAAAAAAAACTCATCGTTCACGAACAGTTCATGTCGACTCGCCAAAGAGTTTGTGTTCGATAAAGCATTAGTTTTAAATTATAATATATAATAAATTATAATAATAATATATTAAGTATTAGTTATAAAGATAGTATATATTGATATATTTTTTAAGTCATATAATTAATATAATGTACTCTATAATAAAAAAAATACCTTAAACTCTACCTCACGCGTTGTTTCTCTCAAAATCAAAAATTTATTCAACCTGGAGACCGCACGTAGGATTACATGTTGTAGCGAATTAAAAAGGGACACATAGAATTGTGGGCCCAACATAAAAAAAATAAGCAGAAATTTTTTTTTTACAATGTGACCTGGCCTAAACCCTGCCCAAGCATAAAAAAAACGTCTTTTGTCCCTTTCAAATCCTGCCAAATCGAACATTTTGTCATTTTTTATCCCGTCAAATTGGAAAAAAGAATATTTGATATCATTCCGGTTTGGGGTTTAGGAATTATTTTCTTTTTCTATTTGTGTTGATATTCAACACCTATGGTAAGTCTTCCGATAGATTTCTATCTCGACCAAGAAATGTTGATGGAATCACAAATTGATTGCAATAATGATGTCAATGAGTTGAGCTTATTAGTTGCGGCCGGAAGCATTCCACAAATAAACTTATATATTTGTATCTACTGATGCTATTAATGGCGTCCTAATGATAGTATTGCTGAGCTATTCTGGTGTGATTACTGTATTATTTGATTGCAATGTTACGTTACGTTGGAGGGTGCACGTGGTGTTATTTATGTAATATCATGGTGTTATAGTTGTAATATTGGTCCTAATTATCTGGTTTAGTTAGAATTTTATGTTAAATGTTAATAGTATTATCCTTTTGGTATTGTGGTTGTTTTTGTCCTGATTTTTTACTTATAAGAGTAATTGAGTGTTATTTAGGTTTTATCATGGTGTTATAGTTGTAGTATTGGTCTAATTATCCGGTTTAGTTAGAATTTTATGTTAACTATTAATTGTATTATCCTTTTGGTATTGTGGTTGTTTTTGCCCTGATTTTTTACTTATAAGGGTAATTGAGTGTTATTTAGGTTTTATCATTGGGTTATACTAGTGTTATTGTATCTAATTAATGATTTTATTGGAGAGTTATGTTGTCATTATAATTAGTATTATTTTTGTGTTATTATGGAGGTATTATGGTAGTATTTATGTAATATTGACTTTCAACTATACATTTGTGTTATTATGGTATTATTTTTGTATTATTTTGGTGATATTATGTATTATGATATTATTTTTATGTATTATGATATTATGTATTATGATATTATTTTTGTATCGTTTCATACTAGTCTTATTAGATTTATTAATTGGTTTTGTTGAAGCGCTTTTTTTTTCATTCGAATGGTGGTATATTGAAATTTGCAGTTACCCGGGTCTGTAACTGTGTGCATTGATCCAATTGCAGATAGCTTGTTTCGCGCAATGGTTCATAATGAGAAGGAAGCCTATGAACAATGTTTTGCATATGCACACCAAATTGGATTCACTGTGCGAAAGGATCACGTCGGTTTGTGGTTGAATTCAAAAATGATTAAGACAAATGATTTCATTTGTGGTAAGGCTTGTTTCAGGAAAAAATTGAGTAACAATGTGACGGTGAAGTTCATAAGAGGGGACACAAGTACTGGATGACTAGTCATGATCTGATATATTGTCGATATCGAAGGTAACTGGTTTGTTAAGAAATTTATAAAAAATCATAATCAACATTTAGCGGCGGACGGTAACAAACATATTTTACGTTACAGCAGAAAGATGAGTTATATCAATGCAAAAGTGCTCAGATCGATGACACAATTAGGGATTAGAACAAGCGATGCATTTAGTTTTTTTACTACAAAATTCGGGGGTATGGAAAATCTTGGTTGGACGAAGAGGGATGCTAATAGTTTCAGATAAAGAAAGAAAAAATATTAAAATTGAACATGGAGACGTTGATTCTCTACTACAATTGTTTGCTGAGAGGCAAGCCGATGATACAATATTTGCATGGGATGTCCAAATTGATGAGTCTGATAATTTGTTGAATTTCTTTTGGAGTGATGAGATATCCAAACTTGATTATGATTGTTTTAGGGATGTCATAATATTTTATACAAACTATATACTCATTCAAATGGTTATTCAAATCATTTTTTTGGATAATAGATAACAAGCACCCGAGAACAATATTCACTGACCAATTTCAAGCAATGGCCAAATTCATTGAAGAGTGTCTTCCGCACACTAGACATAGATTATGTCAATGGCATATTTACAAGAAATTATATTCAAAAGTCCATTGTGGTGTGAGCACCAACAAAGTCAATGAGCTTTTTTATAAATGCATGGGTAGATGTAACTCTGAGAAGAAGTTTGAAGAAACCTGGTGTACAATGTTTGAGTTAGGAAATCTATACAAGAATGTTTGGTTGAACCGTTTGTATAATATCAGACATAAGTGGTCAACAACCTTCAATAAAGAAATAGTTGGGATGAGGATCTTATGAACACAAAGAAGCAGGTCCACGAATAACATCTGTCACGGTGCATCCAAGCCAACAAGCACCCTTACTGAAAGTTTCTTGGGTCTTGAAAATGTCATCAAATTTTGACAAATGAATGAGAAGGATGAAAATTTTAAATGAAAATAGTTTGTAATTGCTCCTACTGTAATAAGTAGTTCTGTGTTAAGGTAAGGTGTTTTAGTTTATACGAGGAAGTTATATTCAATATTTGAAGCAGAGTTGCTACATGGTTTGTGTGGGCTTGTTGTGGAGTGCTCATTGATCCTGGTATTTTTTATATGTAAAGGTTTATGAAGTTGACACCACAACTTGAAAATTTGTATCCCCGGTAATGACACAAAAAACTGGATCCCAAACTTGATCTCAAATAAAGTAAGATTTCAATTATATTTGTAGGGATTCTACGGAAGTATATATATCGTTATCAAGTAATATACAGTTTTTTTATTAAGCCCCGAATATCGATCCCACAGAGATCAAGGTTAATCACGACGACTTTCAAGAGAAGTTGTAATGTAGAATAACACGCCATAGCTTGGAAAGTCAATGAAGATTTGGTTTTGATTATATCCTACAATTATCACTACAATAATACTTATAATCATAAACTAAAATACTTAGTGAAAATCAGAAAGTAGGGTTTAATATATCAAAAATATTATTCCTCATACAATGAAATTAGTGACATGTGTAAAAGTAAAACAAACAGCGAGAGAGATTGTGATAAATGAGCAATTATATTATTAACTCTTACTAGAGATGCTATAAAGAACATTGGTTAATCTAAAGTTTGAATAGTTCTGAAAACGGGCTAGGCAGGGAAGATACTAGCTCTTACTCTAGAGTTCTCTCTTATCCCTACACCTTGAGGCTAACATCTCGCATCAAAACCTAAAAAATAGACAAAATTAGGGGGTTTTAGCCTGTTAGTCTAAAGTCATCTAATTCTACACCCATTAAATATTATTTTCCTATTTATTTGCACTCAATCATATGGACTATATTTTCATTCATACAATCTCATGTGATTCTACCACAGTTGATTGAGACAACATCATCACGGATGACAACACAACATCATCACGGATCTTACATGTTCTCACAACAGATTTTAACATGCAAGTTGATCAAGTTTACATGTAAATGAAGAACAAAGTAAAATCATCACAAAATTCTCTCACTCTACTCAATTCTATATTCTACACATGCATACTAATTCATTATAAGAGGGAAGACTAAATAAAACTACTCACTACACATGAAGAAACAATAATAACTCTTCATTGAACAAGACTTTGAAACTATA